CGAAGAGCCAGCGCTGTCCGAAGACGTTTCCGTGGTCATGTGGCCAGCATGACTAAACACCAAGGTGCACGGAACGCTGTTACCTTCCCACTGAAGTGGTACCTATTTATCTACTTGCAATTTCTTGCTTTCGAACTGCTAGGTTGGCAGGAGCTGGAACTAGAGACGGGAGCTCACCCCGTCATGCGGCACCCAGGTCTCGAACTGCTGAACTACTGACCTTCCACAGCCTGCAGTTCAGCGTCTTAACCACTTGAGCCACCGCAGCTCCTAAAAATGTATCTACAAATGGCTTAATGATTTAGATATTATGCTTGTCTCAGCTGTAGGGCAATGGCAGCACTGCTGTGGTTACATGTCAAGAAGAAAAAGAAATAAAATTATTAAGAAGTAATAATTAGAAGAAAAATGGAATAATATTGCCTACTTTGTGTGATAACTTGGGAAGGGCAATGTCTAAGTCATGTTGCGATTGCCAAACAAAACGTGTCAGTGATGGCCAGACATGAACTTTGGTATCCATTTAGAGCCTTTCTTCACAAATATATGCACAGAATTACTGACACAACTTGCAGAAAGCTCTGTTCTACTGATATTCCCCAACAGAATTTCGGACTGACCCCAAATATACCCACGATTGTCTCAGCTTCTTTTTTTGGCCATCTTGTTATGTTTGGTGAGAACCATCAGCTGATGGTACCCCTACTTTGCACACCAGGTTCAGGCCTTGGCATGCTGGCTCTCGGGTATCAGGACTGGGAAAGACATTTGTTTGACACCCTAGAAAGCCACAGCTAGGCAGAGTAGACAACAGTGGACAAGTCAGATCAATGGTCTTGTGACAATATAGGCTATGTGTGTTTTTATAATTCAAAATGTAAATTGACTAGAATGTATATTCAATTTAAAAATGGCCATTTTCCATTCACTATTTTCTTATTATAGAAACATAAGTAATACATTCCAAGATTAAAAAAAACAACTACATTACCAGTGTAATTGTGAAACTGTCCTTTAGTAAGAAAAATGCTATAACTGGTTCAAAATATTTTTAAAAATACATTTTATAGAATAGTTATGTTCTCAACATAGTTATACTTTGTGTGCAATAATGAGGAGAAATTGGATGACCAGTGAGTCTATTTGATGGTATTTTTCTAGCACACATTCATATGCCAAACTGGATGAAGTCCTTGTTAGCAGACCTCATGATTCCAATAACTGCACAGTAATGTCAGAAGTGTTTATTAGCATGCACAAGCAGTTCATAACTTCGTCATCATTTTAAAAAGCAAATGTAGCTGATCTAAAGTTATTGTCTGTGCTTTATCTATACATTAAAATGTACCAATTGTTATTCTTATTTGCTTTTTAAATTTAAGATTATGTCTGTACTTTTTTTTTTGTTCTTTGACACATGGATTTTTGTTCTTGGAATAAAATCCCATTCGTGATAATGTAGAATATTTCATGGGGTACTATGCTAGCAAATATGGTTGAGCCAGCAATATGTTAAGGGACCCTTGCATACTTTACAGGTCAGTTACACAGCTCACAGTTATGGACAAAGCATGTCTTATAACTCAGACTACTCTTGTGAGTCTTTTTTACTGATGTTATCAGTAATGGGCCATGGATAGTAACTTGTGCAGTTACTATCCATGGCCCATTATACAAACTTTTAGCAACTGCAAAGCATATGAGGTAACACCAGTAAAAATTTCCTGTTATTTTTGAAATTTATTATTATGTATATTTAGTATAGACATTTGATATATAATAATCTGACCTTTTCCTCTTTTTTGTCAATTTTAAAAAGCAACACCTGGCTCTATATAATTTTTTTTTAAACATTCATTTCTGGATGTCTGTTATTGTACAATAGGAATATTGACCACTGAGGGAGGCCCGAAGGGGTCGAAACGCATATGGTCTATTGGTCAAAAGTTTTATCCATCATTTGGACATGTATAACTATCAGCTCTGAATGTAATAAGCTTTAAGAGTTGGATATTTGGAATATTTCTTTTAACCTTATGTATGTTTTATTTATGTGTACACCATAATAAATATTTGTATTTTTATAACAATTTATTTGTTAGCTTGACCCTCTTAGATCACAGCTACATTTTGGGTTGAGTTTCCTCCCCCCCTTTTTTTCTTTGGTATTTTTCAACAGCAACTAACTGAAAATAATAAGCATAAACATTGTGAGCCTGACATTTAGTTATCTCTCTGGACTGGACCTGAAAACTTCTCTAAATGAGCGGATCTTTAGGAGCAATTTCGTATTGGGTTGACTAAAGAAAGTGCAGCATGACAATCCGCCACTAGAGGGAGTCTGGGCACTTTCAAAGGATTGAAAGCCGGGAGAAAAGCCAAGTAGCTGAAAGACGAGTGAAAATGATGATGCCTGTTTTTGTTGCTGCTGCAGAAACCACAGAAGATTCAGTCACATTCCGCCAGGAAAACATTTTGTCCCTACTGAAAGTCATACGCTTCAAAAGAGGGACAGCACCCAAAAGATTCAGGATGCTCATTGTCTGTGTCTGAAGCCTTTTTGGAAGATTAACTCACATGGGGGCTCAGTGCTACGCATCCCACAAGGGACACTTTCGTCGTCTGAGGCGAGTTTCGACCGATCGATGAATCGCGCCAGTGGTGAATTGCAGAGCAGCGTTAATGCTTCCCATTCCCAGGTTTACACTTTGAACTTCAGCATGGTGTGGGCTTTATCGGAAGGGCTGGTGTGTAAAATACAACGCCTTTCAATTGCCTTCTGGAGAAAGGTCACCTGGTCTAGCTCTTTGGTTGCGCAGCATAAGAAATGCAGCTGCTGCCAGCAGATGATATTTCTGCCCTTTGAGAGATGTTAATGAAATATGGCTCAATAAAGCAATAAGGATCCGCTGCTTCCCTTTCTGTTCATGTAAATGTATGAGGTGCAAAAGGCTTCAGGTGAATCACTTTGCCGCATTAAGTAAGCACCAGCAGCGGCTCGGACACGGGCAGACCCATCCCCGGCGAGTTCTCACCGTGCTAGTCGGCAGGGGCAGAGCCCATCTTCGCATGCCAGGGATTGGCTTTAATAAACTAATCTGAAGCCCCAGAGCCGACTGGCGGTTTAGCAATCCCGAACGCATTTGTGGAAAGAAGAGGATTAAATGCGGAACAAAGTAAATTAGCAATCTGCCTTCCAGACCGTTAAACATTTTTATTAAATTTGATTACACAGTGGACGAGATTAGACTTGCCCTTTGCGGTCAAATTCAATTGATCCAGGCACATCCCAGACTCCAGCAGCCCATGGCGCACGCATTTCCACCCCAGCACAGGGGCGCTGGCTTCCATGTCGCTCTCCTCGCCCCACTGTTCACGGGGAATCGAGAGCTGGCGTCAGGGCATGTCTCGCACGCCAGCCTCTGTGATATCCCGCGCGGAAACAGGTTACCTGCAGTACTCAGGAACCACTCCTTGTAATTCAATTAGTCTGGTTTTCAGAAGGTGGGGTCGCGGGGGTGGGTGTCGGTTGGGCATAAGAGGCGGAGCCAAAGGCAAGAGAAACGCCTCTTTTCTACAGCCGAAATCCAATCGGGTGGGAGGGAACGCAGGGAAAAAAGCAATCGGTAAGCAAACAGCCGTCTGGGTTCTGACTGGCTGCTCTAGCAGTCTCCCCCCCCCCTTCCCAAGTAAACGGCATGCAAAAATCCCACATGATCAACCAACAGCGCCTTTGCTCCCAGCTAGCCGATTGCACCTCTTCCGTGCACGCACACACGGAGGCTTCCAGATCCGTCTCCTGACACATATACGCAAGTGGATGTGTGTGTGTGTATCTCGCTCCCGTGTATGCATCTATGCAGCTGTCTGTTGCGCGCAGACACCCAGCCCAGTAGCCTTCTCGTTTTTTCTAGGCTGCCGCTGTCAGATTTACACGCAGGAAACCGGTCATTGCAAAAAACGGGGCGTACCTATTTAAAGATCCCCCCCTCTCTTGGCAGACTTGACTTCTGTTCCTCCAATCCTCGCTGCTCTTTACGGTTCCTGCCTGCCAGCCGCTGCATTAGAGTTTATTTCATTTGCTTGCTGGAGTTGTGAGAGAGCGAGAGAGACATTTCCTCGCTCCTTTCTGTGGCGGCTTTTTCGCGGGGCTGCCCGGGAGCCGCTGCCGCCGGGCAAGACCCGGGGATTTCTCTCCCCCCCCCCCTTTCTAATGTAGTCATCAGCAGGGCGCTTTCCTTTTTCTCCTCCTCCCCACCTCTTTTGCAAAGTTGACGTTCCAGGGACTTGGACCTGCTTGGCTCCCAGAGCCACTTGGCGAAGGAGAGAAGAGACCGCGACCGCCGCGCCCGGGGGCTCCAGCAGCTCCTGCCTCGGGCAGAGGAGGCGCCTCCCCAGCGAAGCCGCACCGGAGGAGGTCGGGGAGGGGGAGCCTCCCTTCTCCTCCCCCGTCGCCCAAAAAACTACTCCCGAAGCCCCCGGATTGCCGCCCTCCTCCCTGGCTGGCTCTGTGGATTCCTTTCGCTTGTTCTTCTCTCGCGCCGGACCAGGAAGGAGGAGAAGCCTCCCCCCAAGGGAGAGGAGAGACTCGGCCAGTCCCGCTTCCCAACTCGAGCCCGAGAAAGAAAGGGAGGGAGGGAGCGCGCCAAAGTGGACTTTTCCTTCCGTTGAGGATTTCCTGTCGGCTCTCCTCAGCCGGCCTCCGAGCGCTGCCTCCGAGCCCTCGCGCCAAAGGGCGGGAAGCGGCACCGCCAGAGGAGAACGCCGAGCCTTCGCCCGGGCCACGACCGCGGAGCCGCCCCTCAGCGGCGCTGGACAGGGGGAGGGCCGGTGTATGTCTCGCCCTCGGCTCGGCTGCACAGGACTCGCCGTGAATGTGCTCCCCCCGCCGCCGCCTGCTGCTGCCGCTGCCCGGCTCGGCTCCCAGGTCCCCCTGCAGGGGCGCGCGGGCTCCATAAGACGCTCTCCTCGGCGCAGGCTTCCCCCGGGGGGCATCTCCTCGTGGCCCTCACCCGGCTCGCACTTTTCTCTTTGTGTGTGTCTCGTGACTTTGTGTGGTGTGTTCCTTTTGTCTCTGATCCCCCCTTTGTCGCCGTCGCTCTTGTCGTCCCTAAGCCCTCCTGTGCGGTGTCTCGGTGGCCGGGAGTGATGTTGCACGTGGAGATGTTGACGCTGATCTTTCTGGTGCTCTGGATGTGCGTCTTCAGCCAGGACCCCGGCTCCAAAGCGGTGGCCGACCGCTATGCCGTCTACTGGAACAGCTCCAACCCCAGGTAAGAAGGGAGGCGAGCGCAGAGCTGGGCCGGGCCGGAGAGGGACGATCCCCCCGTGGGGCGCCTTCCTTCGCGCCGGCTGCCAGAGCAGCATCTCCAGGCTCGCCGTTCAGGTCCCGCAGACCTGGACGGGGGAAGCACGAGGGGTCCGGCTTCCTCTTTTGTGTCTCCCTGCGATGGTGTTCCGAAGCACCAGAGGCACTTGTTTGCAGAAACTTTTCCTCCTGTGACTCCCATGTACGCAGGCTTGGAAGCATCACCCGGTGTTTGGTGTTAAATTGTATCGGTACATCTGATTTTAAAAAAGTGTTTTCGTGTTTAGGGTTCTTAATGAATGCCTCTTTCACCTTTGGTAGGCAGCACGGAACGTGGAGTATATTACACATGAAACTGCAGGCATGAAGTGTCTACTCAGAAAGGGTGTGTGCTTCCTTCAGTTCTCTGGTACTAGTGTTGTTGTTCGTATGTATATTTGTGTAGAGGACAGATATTCCATTTCTCTTTTGATCCAATGAAAGTTTTTAAAAGTTAGTGAATACCCACAAACTATTTTAATGGTTGTTTGCATGTTGGCATGTAATACTAATACTAATAATTAATAATAATAAACTTTCTAAGAGTCTTCCGTGCAGTTTAATTGCAGGGGATATTGGAATTGGCCTCCTGGCAACCACAGGTGGCACCTGTTCCATGCCAAGGTTTTAGAGATCGTAAAAGATCGCTCCCACTTCTGTTTACCTTCCTCATACTAACCAGTTAACAGTGCAGCCCTGTGAGCACTTTCCTGGAAATAAGCCTATTGAATAGACCTGTTTAGGATTGCTCTCCAAGTCAGGTTAACTGAGTAAGAAGCCTCCCAAGTTTTCAGTGCAGTCAGATGGAGGTTTTGCATGGTAAAGGGCAGCTCCCCTTGCTTAAACTGTCAGAACAAATTCAAGTGCAGTATCTGATGATGCTTTCGTACAGCACATTGATATTGTGTCTAGAAGCTGGGTAGAGAGAAAGCAGCCCTTGATATTTTCAGCAATGAGTTAGCATCATTAGAAGATGAGATTTAAGGGAGGCTACACTAGTACTGGAGAAAGTTCTTAAAATACTTGACAAAACAAATTCAGTTCAGGGTGTGCAGTTGTTGCTGTGTAAAAAGCAACCTTTATGATGGTTTCTTTGTTCTCTTTGCTGTTCTCTTTGCAGAAAGTGCAAATAAAAGCTAATAATTTGTTTTTAAATTCCTGTCAGAATCGCATGAGTGAATCTTCAGATTAGGAGTGTTTAGGATATTGCCAAGTCTTTCAGCATCAGAAAATTACAGTCATTTGTCAAATGGTACCTCTCTGACTTTGTAATGAGGCACCTAAATGCAGTTTTGTTTTATTTTTTTAAACTGAGAGTTGGAGGGGGGATTGCATTGTTAAAGAAGACTTGACCAGATTTTCCTTCTTAAACTTGTCAGGCTAGTCCAAGGAAGTTTGAGGACACTTTTATCTTGCACTATCTCTGCCTGTGATTTTGATATAGTTGCTTGGATTGAGGTTGGCACATTGACTTTTTTGTCACAGGTTATGTTTTTTAATAGATCTGTGGTGCCTGCAGAAGACTTACACTGTATTTAAAGGATGATATAAAATTAATAGTGCCAAAGTTAAAGTTTTAATTTTAAAGTCTTAGTTTTAGTAGATAGTTGATCATTTTAATGTAATGTATGGCAGCTTAAGCAAAACAAGGCACTAAGGAAGGGTGACAATGAATTAGATTGCATCAAGTTAATTTTCATGGTGGTGGTGGTTACTGACTTCTGTGCTTTCAAAACCTGTCATCTCTCTTACATCATAGCACAGACAAATCTGCAGCCAAAAAGGTTTCAGGTAAAATTAGGCAACTGTTGTAACAAGCAGCACTTTGCAGACATTATTTATAATGTACTTTATAAAAAGGAGCAACTGTCCCATCTTAATGCCCTAGGACAAGTTTTGAAATTAAATACATATTTGCTGAAGATATTAAAATAATAAACTGAATTCGCCCACTCTACTTGTGAAAAAGAAAACATTTGCTGCTTCGAATTTGACTAAATAACCTGCACATGTGACTATTTTGCTTAAATCAAAGTATGCTATTAAAGTTTTGCTTCCCTGCCTGTTATGGTATTAATTAGACATGTGAGTGAGGTACAGTGTTTAAATACAAACAATCCATGGTACCATGAGGTCAAACCAGACAGTTTTAAAGCATTAAAGTCAGAAAGGACCCATGTAAGTTAGACCTGTTGTGCACACTGAAAGAAACTTTTAAATAGTAAAGTTCTGGAACGCCCTAACATTACTGCTGGTGTATGTGTGTGGCAGAACTCCGTGTCGATGGTTTAGAAAACCTTGCTGATATTGTTAAAGTCTGTTAAGATACGGCATGTTTTTTCCAGACTTAAAAGTAAGGTTGAATGTTGAACTTTAATTTTTCCCCTCTAATAAATTTTCAAAATCGAAGCTGCACCTTTTATTATTACAAGGTCTGCAGATAGCTGTGTTGAACCTGTCAAACCTTTCTTTAGAGAGACATCAGAACATATTGAGAAGTTGCCACGTATGATCCTGGACCTGGAGAACCGATGTTATGACTTTTTTTTAAAAAGCTATCTTCACTTAAGAGTGAGTGTTCTTAACTAATAGCTAAAGATGTATAATTGGTAGCTATAAATGTTATTTAGTTAGTATAATAGCTAATTTTTGTAGTGGATACTCTTGTCTGATTAAGGAACCCACTAAGGTGTCAAGCCATAGCAAACTACCGTAGTTAAAGTGTTAAACACCCAATATACTGATAACTGTAGAAGTTTTATGCTCCTAATAAACTCAGATTTATTTAGATTTCATAGAATCTAAATATAATATAAGATATGAGATAATGTTTATCATCACATAGATGAATTAAAACCACTAACATAATGGTGAGTTATATGGCATTATTCAGTAAAAGAGATTTTGACTTAATTTACTGCCCCTCCCCAACTATATGGGCCACAGTCCAGTGTAGGGCTAGATGGCCTTATCCTTAACTTTGTGTTGTAATATGGCTTCACTTTTGGTTTCTTACCATGTATAAAAGAGTGGTATCCACTTCTTCCTTGCAGTTGCACTGAACTGTATTAATAAAAAACCCAACATTTTTATCATGAAAAAAGAAAATTTTAGAACTGCTGTAATTACTCTTATTTTTTCCAAAGGTAGCCTAGTTAAATGCACAGTTAAATAATGTGAAGAGGCTGTTGAAATTTGTTTATTTAAAGGAAATGTATAGAATAGCGATCAAAGACTTTTAAAGCCGTGATTCTTAAAGTGATTGTGTAATTTTTCTAGAGAAACATTTTGAAAATTCATTATAAACCTGTGGACATGATGTGGACTTCAGGCTCTAAAAACGTTCAGATCTGTGTTTATGACTGCAGAGGGTAGATTGCTGAATTGTACTGCAGAACACCTGGATTCAGTTTAGAGCCCTTCTGCAAAAATTGGGTATATACTTTCAGAGAGTTATAATGAAATCTTGTTAATTTTCCCTTTGAGGACTGTATCCTGCTAATACTTACACAGAGATTTTGATGTCCTGGATAGATTTAGGGATGTTACAATATTTTGTGCATTTGGTAATGTTTGGGGGGTTGCACCCCTCATTTTTGTCTCCAGTTTTTAGACTCTGGTAATAAAAGCTGGCTGGTTAATGTTTCTTCTCATAGATCTTCGGGCTATACTACACACAATGCCATATGATAACAATAATAATAATTACCTAGTTAAATATGCACAATGATTTTTATGGTTATAAATAAAAGCAGTATATTTTCTACATCTCAAGGGTGAATAAAATTTACATTTCTAATTATTCCGTTTGGGCAACACTATGACTTTTAATTAACTTTGATGTATGCATGGTATTTACAATGATAGCTGTAGCAGGGTGTTTGTGGGTAGGACTTCCACCGTACAATTGAAAGTTGACTTGTTTGTTGATGTTCAAATTGGTGTTCCACTTTGGTTTCAACAAAGAGGTCCTTCCTAGGCTGTTTTGATTGTGAGACATCTTGTAGTCCAGGTTTAGCTGAAATTAATGGGGACAAAGGTAACACAATGAAGTGCAAGTTTCAAGTTAAAAGTCTTAAAAGGTGTGGCCTTCAAGGTGGCAGAGCTGTTGAGCATTTGTAAATTTCACTGAGTTTGACAGATGTATAGAAAGTCTTCAGCTTTTTGTAAAATCAGAGCTCTTTCCTACTTAATTTCCTGTAGGAATGTTGAATAGACTGTTTTATAAATTCCACGTATTTCATTAGTAACATGGTTTTATGACAAGAGAGATGTTTCTGTAGGTGCCCAGGTAGCTATTACTTGGTGCAGCTTGATCCTGTGAGTGTTAACTTGGAAGTTTAGTCTCAGCAAGTTTAGTGGAACTTAGATGGGAGTGAGTGTGCATAAGATTTCACTCCACCCGTTAAGCGTAAACATGGATAGTTTCATATGGTTCATTTCTTAAGGCTGCCTACTTTGGGTCAGAAGCTTAAATAAACTCTGTATAGGGTGGGTCCAGTGGGTTTGGCACTAATGTTCCAGTATCAAGAGTCAGGATACCACCGAGATTTATGTCCAAGAAATATAGCTTATATTTTAATAGCTGACGTGGCAACCCAAATCTGGAAATGCTGAGATCTCCACCCCAGTAAACTTATGACTTAGAAGTACAACAGAAAAGCCCTCTTATTATTATTATGTAGCTTATCTGATTTTAATAATGATATCCTGAACTCCAAAGTTCCTATTTTTTACAAAATTAAGGTTTCATACAGTTTGGCCTCTTCTGTAAAAACCTACTCAATAAGCTTTGGAGGCCTTTACTTTTCAAAGAAATGACAACTATGAGAGGACAGAACTCACTTGGCTCTTTCCAGGTACCTTTAATGGAGATGTTTAAGTGCTGGTACTGCTTGCCTTATTTACTGTTAAGGGAAGACAGAT